TTGGTCGTAACTTTCCTTCCAAGGAGTAAGCATCTTTTAATTTCATGACTGCAGTCACCATCTGCAGTGATTTTGGAGCCCAAGAAAATAAAGTCTCTCTCTGTTTCCATTGTTTCCCCACTGTTTGCCATGAAGTGATGGGACCAGATGCCATGATCTTCGTTTACTGAATGTTGAGTATGAAGCCAAATTTTTCACCCTCCTCTTTCACTTTCATCAAGAGGCTCTTTAGTTCCTCTTCACTTTCTGCCATAGGGTGGTGCATCTGCATATCTGAGGTTATTGACCTTTCTCCTGGCAATCTTGATTCCAGCTTGTGCTTCATCCAGCACGCATTTTACATGATGTACTCTGCATAGAAGTTAAATAAGCAGGGTAACAGTATACAGCCTTGATGTATACTGTTGATACTTGATACTCCTTCCCCAATTTGGAACCAGTCTGTTGTTCCATATCTGATTCTAACTGTTTCTTCTTGACCTGCATACAGCTTTCTCAGGAGGCAGGTAAGGTGGTCTGGTATTCCTCTCTCTTTAAGAATTTTCCACAGTTTGTTGTGATCCACACAGTCAAAGGCTTTACCATAATCAATGAAGCAGAAGTAGATTTTTTTTCTGGAATTCTACTTGCTTTATCTATGATCCAGTGGATGTTGGCAATTTGACCTCTGGTTCCTCTGCCTTTTCTAAATCTAGCTTGAACATCTGGAATTTCTCAGTTCACATACTGTTGAAGCCTAGCTTGGAGAATTTTGAGCATTACTTTGTCAGCAGGTGAGATGAGTGCAAATGTGTGGTAGTTTGAACAATCTTTGGCATTGCCTTTCTTTGGGATTGGAATGAAAACTGACCTTTTCCAGTCCTGTGGCCACTGCTGAGTTTTCCAAAGTGCACTATCTGCTAGTAAACGGATTATATGCAACTCCTTTTCTACTGAATAACTGTCTTTATTTTCCAAGTTTCCTATGAATTTTTATTACTTTAGATTCAGAAAAAAATAAAGAAATCCTATCAGTTAAGACCCATATCAAAAGCCATATGTCTCTGAATTCTTTTCTAATTTTCTACTCAATAGTAGGTAATTTCACTGGTCTCCTCATAAGGCATGCCTGTGGCATCTCTATTCCCCCTTTTCTTACCTCCTCCATTGCAAAATAATTTGAAGAGGAAACCATCTTTGTGCCATTTGAAATACATGGTCTATAGATTTGACTTGGTCATTCATTAGCTACCAAGTCTCTGATGCTTTTGCTATTTATCACTCATGTCAGCCCCAGAATTTCTAGAGAAGCTGGATTCTCCAGCTTGGTTAACTGGAGATTTCTTCAACTGTCATAGAACATGCTATTTCTAGAAAGTGGTGGAAAGAGAGATATAAAGATAGGAAAGAGGAAGGAGGAGGGCAAATCACACACACATTGTTAACATTCAAGGGAAGGGGTGTAGGCATTTTGAGTTGCCTGTCAGCTCCTGCAAATCTATACCACTAGGTTAAAGCCACAGTTTAAACATGGTTCCAGATCTACACTTTCAACATTAGTGCCCTGAAACCACCCCTACCCTCACACTTCAAGTCCAGGAAATCCACTGAAAACTTAGGTAGAAGAAAGAAGAGCCACTTCCTTTCCCTGTGGCTGGGGCTGTTACCCTGCAGAGAGCATGGATGAGCTTAACAAAGAGAGAAGAAACTGGATGTGGGGAGACTGAGCCCCAGCTCTACAGACACCATGCAAAAATTTTTCTGAGTCTTGGTTTCTTCACCTGTAAAATGGAGATGACATCTGCCTCACAGTGGGACAGAAGAAAAACTACTACTAAGTACTAATCTAGCTAGTAACTTACAGCTAAAATGTTCACTTTCATTCTTAAAGGAGACACTCAGTCTGATAATATTTTTTGATATTTTATATGATTTTTATACATATATAGCAGAATCACTTATTAACAAATTATTATACAAATTCAAGTATAATGGATTCAAGAAACTACCCAGCAGTAATTGTACACCAGGTATTATTCTTCCTTTCAGAACTAAAGCCTTGTCAGTTATGTGTTGTTAGGTTTTAAAGGGTATGCTTTCTCCACCTGCTGTGGTGGTCTGTAGAATCATTCTCTTCCCAAACAACTGAAAAAGTATGGAATTTATAAAAATCTTGAAAAATTCTCAGTGAGTTCACTTTAATATTGAAGGGGGAAAATGTAATTATAGAAAAGAAAAAACTACACATATACACTAACGTGGCAGCTATTCCCAGGATAGATTAGCATAAAAGATCACAGCTTGGCCGGAATTGTCCCCTTTTCCCCACCCAGGTGTTTATGGAAGAAAGTCTGGAGCTGCTGCCAAGCATCTATCTGGGCCCTGGCATGAGCCCTGGGCTCCCCTCCCCAGATGACTGGAGTGCCCACTAAGGTGTGCAGGGAAGCCGGGCACAGGGGGAAGTAAGGAGGTTCAATGTAGTGCCCCGTCCCTGGGTAACAGATGACCTGGGGTTTTGCCTTCCCATGGGCCTGCAAGCGTTTAGAGGCCTCATTAGCATAGAATTCACTCTTCCAGTTGTGGTCATCCTGACCCACAAGAAACAGGAAGGGGCACTCAGCCCTTTCCACAGGAATGAAGCTCTTCTGGTCAGCTCCTTCCAAAGGGCTGTTCAGGACTTCCACAATGTCTACAAAGCCATCTTTAGTTATCTTGATTCGATTTTGGTTGAAACCCACAGGCGGCAGAATCTCACCTTTGTAGTGTAAGTTTCCACCGACACGGACTACAGAGCCATTGATTATGACGGCCGCAGTGATGCCCTTCAGTAACGAAGCCATGGAGAGGCAGAGCTCGCCTCCTTTTGAAATCCCAAGCAGCCCAACTCCTGGACCCTTCACCTGAGAAAAGGTCAAAGGGAAAAGGAGAATAAGTCCATGAACAGTGCAGTGTGGCCAGTAGTGCCTGGACTTGAGAGTCGGGGAACTGAGCCTGAATCTTGGCTCTCCCAGTTATCAAGGTTTGCAGCCTTAGGATACTGGCCTATTCTTCCTCTGTACTTGCTCTCCACAATTTCTCCATCACCATTCCTGGTGTCTTCAACAACCAAGTGGATGACAACTGAATACTTTGGCCTCACAGTCCCTTGACCTCCAAACCTCCAGTGATCGTTTTCTCTCTCCCACTGAAGATACACACTCCCATTGTCATAACCTAAACTGAGTCATCAATAAGTATATCATCTCCAAGATCTCAGCTTCAAGCATTCTACTCTCTAATCACTCTCCTATTTACCTCCAGTTTAGCCATTCTAGTGGTGCCCACTGCTACCTCTTTGAGGCTCTGACCACCATTTCTTCACCATCAGTACCTTCTCATGTTCTCACTTCCCACCTCATCCAGCTTAGATTTCAAGCTTCATCATTATTTCTACTCTCCTGCAAACACTGTTAACTACTTTAATTGGTCATACTTGCCTGAAAAAGTTCTAACCTCAGTTAAATGCACTTATAATTCACTTCCTTGGGGCCTGCATTTGTGCAAATGAACACTGCTACAGAAAAAAATACACACTTGTGTTGACACAACTTACTTTCATGTCATGACCACAAATTTCAAATAAACATCCATACTGGCCCTTAGTCCTGCCACGCATCACTGATATTTGCTTTCCACTTCTCTTAAAGACCGTTTCACTTTGTCTCCTACATCTGTAAGCCCCTTTAAGCCTTATTCCCCATCACTTTCATCCCATCCTGCTTCATGGAGAAAACAGAAGCTATCGGGAAGGAACTTGTCCTCATTTCCCCTTCCAAGTGTGATTAGTTCCACATGAAGCAAGCTCCCTGCTTCCCTCCTGTTTCCTAAGTAGCTCTGTTCTTCTCCAAGGCCATCCCTCTGCTTGTCCCTGGGATCTTATCCACTCTCATCCTCAGTGACTCTGCTCCTGCAATGACTTCCTCTCTCTTTCCTTTGTAACTTTCTTCTCTACTGGCTCATCCCCATCGGCGTACCTCTTACACTTTAACTCTAGGTAAATTTTAGTTCTAGTACCTCTTGCATTTTAACAGTCTCTTGACCTCAAATCCACTCGGACCTAGTTTCTACTCCCTTCACAGAAAAACTTGTGGGAATCTTTGGAGTTATTTTATTTCTTCATTCACTACTCAGTCCCCTCCAGGGTAATTTGCCCTATTCCATAAGCGCTGCTCTTGTCAATCACCAAACACTTCTCTTATAAATGGCCTTTTGATTGACCTTCGAACAGCAATTTTTTTTTTTTTTTTTTGGTCATGGTTTCTACAAGGGCACTCTTAACTGATTTCAACCATTCATTTCTCATAAAGACACTGGAAATGGGATATTATTGTCATCTCAGTTTTTGAGAGGAAGAAACAGGCCCCAAGGTCATAAAGATAGTTAAGTGGCAAAATGAAATCTCACATTTAACTTTTCTCTATCAAACATATTGTGCTGGTTCCAATACACCCCGCCACCTTTTCTAAGAGCTCCAGTGGTTCTATTCACCTTGAACACTGATTGAATTATAAAATAAGCAAGGTTCATCTTCTATTCCTCTGATATCCCAAACCTCTATTTCGTACTAGCCAGGTTCTTTGCCTCCAGGTACATCCTTAAAACTGAATACTCTGCTCTCAGATGGGCACATTAAGGAAAGGTTTGTTAAACACAAACATTTAAACTGGAGACAGTGATCTCCTTCCCCTTTTCCTCAACTTCCTGGGTCAAACCCAGGGTTCTCAATGTGTTTGGGCTTGTAATGAAATGCTACAAAATACTGGAATATAAAATTCCATAATTTCAACCAGGACAACTTTACCAGCAGGAAATCTAGCAGTGATATCTAATTGCATGGAAACTCTCTAGGAAAAGTAACTATGAAAGGTAGTGTGTGTTGGGGGCAGAGAATGGCTGTCAAGAATTTGGTCAAATTCTGTGAAAACCAAGAGACTTTCAGAGGAGAACTGATATGTAGAACATGAAACTAGAGAAGCTCCAACCTGAGGGTGATTAAGCAGGTAGTTCACAGCTTCTTCAAAGTACTCCAGGTGGAGGTTCTCCAGGCTCTTGGGGAGGTCCTCGTAGTTGTAATAAGCCAGCGCCATCACAGCAAAACCCTTCCCAGCCAGCAGACTAGCTCGATATTCCAGAAGGCCTCCTCCAGCTCCCAAAATGTCCACAATCCCAGGAAAGGGCCCGGGCTCTTGAAAAGAAAGAAAACACAAAACTAAACGATACTTGAAACTCTTTTTAGTGGTGGCAAAAGCCATTTTTGCCTATTTGGAGATGTCAGAGTTTTCTGTTGACAATCAGAAATGCTAAACAACTCAGGTCTTCAAAGGTCCAGACTGTGGCACAGGCTAAACCCACATTCCCCTCTATACTCAGGGCCTCAAAGCCACACAGAGTTTTACAAAGATCATGTACTATTTTTGTGAGTAAAAATCAGGTATAGGACTTCCCCGGCGGTAGAGTGGATAAGAGTCCACCTGCCAATGCCAATGCAGGGGACACTGGTTCCACCCCTGGTCCGGGAAGATCTCACAGGCCACGGAGCAGCTAAGCCCCCTGTGCCACAGCTACTGAGCCCGCCCCCTAGGGCCCGAGTGCTGCAGCTACTGAAGTCTTCACGCCCTAAAGCCTCCATGCCGCTGCAGCTACTAAGCCTGAGTGTTCCAACCACTGAAGCCCAAGCACCCTAGAGCTTGCACTCCACAAGAGAAGTCTGCACAAGGAGAAGTCCGAGCACCACAGCGAAGGGTAGTCCCCGCTCAACGCAACTAGAGAAAGCAACAAAGCAGCAAGGAAGACCCAGGACAACCAAAAAAACAAAAAGAACAAAAAAATAAGTTACANCTTGCACTCCACAAGAGAAGTCTGCACAAGGAGAAGTCCGAGCACCACAGCGAAGTGTAGTCCCCGCTCAACGCAACTAGAGAAAGCAACAAAGCAGCAAGGAAGACCCAGGACAACCAAAAAAACAAAAAGAACAAAAAAATAAGTTACAGATGGGACTTACCTGGTGGTCCAGTGACGAGGAATCTGCCTTGCATTCAGGGGACAGGGTTCCATCATGGGTCGGGGAACTATGATCACACATGCCGAGGAGCAAGTAAGCCCCCACACCACAACTGCAAGTACTGAGCCCAAGAGCAACAACTAGAGAGTCCATGCACCTCAAGGAGAGATCCTGAATGACACAGAGAAGATCCCATGGGCTGCAACTAAGATCCAGTGCAGTGAAATAAATAAATACTTTAAAAAACCAGTTACAATGAAAACAGCAAAATCACTGCCCTCTTCTGCACCCCCTCCCAAAGTGACAATGCCAAATGCTAGTGAGGATGTGGAACAACTGGATGCTTTACACATTGCCAGTAGTGTGAAAATTCATAAAGGGGAACCTCATAACAGATCTGGAGGACAGAAGGGGAGCTCTCAGCAGTACCACTCCACATCAGTTTTAGGAAGGATTGTCAATCACAAATCAAAACAGAAGAATCATTAACAGGAAAGAATCATCAGTCACAGGTCCCAACAAAAAAAGATGTACATTGCATCCCCTCCAAGAAACTGACTACCCCAAGAATTCAGCCAGTGAGAAACCACCATCACCCTAAACTGTCACTTTTTGCCAATGGACTTTTGTTCAAAACAACTCCTCCCACCTTCCTCCTTTTTCTCCATTAAATAACTTTCCTCTTCTTGGCTTGTTGGGTTTGCCTATGGTTTTTGTTATGTCTTGCTTGTCCCAAATTGTAATTCTCTGTTATTTCCAAATTAACAAATTTTTTACTAGCCAAGTAACTACCTTTTATTTTTAAGGGCAACAGTGGGGATGCACATTGATACAATCAGTTTGGGAAAAAACTGAGCAACTTCTTATAAAGTTAAACATACTTTATAAAGTCAATGACCCAGCAATCTTACTCCCAGGTATTTTCCCAAGAAAAATGAAAATTTGTGGTCACACAAAAACTTAGATGTGTGTTTGCAGTGATTCCAAAGTCTTGAAACTCAAATATCCTCCAAAAGGCAAATGAAATAACAAACTGGCACATCCGTTTAATGGGAAACTTCTAAGACACAAGAAGCAGCAGCTACCAACATATGGAGCAAAAAGAGTAAATCTTAAATGTGTTATCCTTGGCCCAAAAAGCTACCTACTGTGTATGATTCTAGTTATTTCACCTTTTCACTATTTACATAAAAAATTTGTATATAATGTACAAATTTTAAGGAATAATTATAAGGCAAGTACTTTATATTAGTATAATTTTACTTGTTTATTTGTTGACTAGGCTGGGTCTTTGTTTCTGCTCCTACTTTTCTCTAGTTGCAACGCGCCAGGGCTACTCGCGGGCTGGGGTGCAAGGACTTCTCATTTCAGTGCCTTCCCTTGCTGCTAAGCGTGACTCTGCGGCGTGTGGGCTTCAGGAGTAGTGGTGCCAGGACTCAGGAGTTGCGGTTCCCGGTCTCTACAGCACAGGGTTAATAGCTGTGGTGCACAGGTTTAGTTGTTTTGCAGCATGTGGGATCTTCCCAAACTAGGGGTCAAACCTATGTCTCCTGCATTGGCAGGCAGATTCTTGAGCCTTAAAGTTTTCTTTCTAAAGTTTTTCAGTTTTACAACTTTGCTTATAACTTCCACAGTATTAAGATTTAAGAAAGAGTAGATGAATAACTGTGTTTGTTTTTTTAGCAGTGTATGCAAGTTCCTTTTCTTCCACATACTGGTCAAACACTGGTAATGTTAGACTTCTAAATTTTGAGGATGTTTAATGTCGTGTGTAGTCTTGTTTTGCATTTCATTGATTCCTAATGAGGATAAGTTTTTTTGTCTTTTTTTTTTACTTTTTCATTGGCCGGCTGCATTTTATGAAATGGTAAAATTAACTGATAGTTCAGAAGATCTCCGGCGGATAGCAAGAGACCCTCCTTCATGCTGTTTTTGTTGTTTGGTTGTTAAGCCGTAACTGGCTCTTTGCGACCCCATGGACTGTAGCCCGCCAGGCTTCTCTGTCCATGGGGATTCTCCAGGCAAGACGACTGGAGTAAATTGCCATGCCCTCCTCCAGGGGAATCTTCCCAACCCAGAGATCAAACCCGCCTCTCTCAGTTTCCTGCATTGGAAGGCAGGCTCTTTACCACTAGCGCCACCTGGGAAACCCACCATCTCCCGGAGTTTGCTCAACTTCACATCCATTGAGTGGGTGACGCTATCTAACCATCCCATCCTCTGCTGCCTCCTCCATTCCTGTTTCAGGCCCCACGGACCTTCCGAATGTTATGAGCTACCTACTTATTACCTTCCTCTCTCACATAGATTAAACAAGGATTGCTGGCGGCTCACCTGGCGGCAGGAAGAGCGTGCCGCGCACCCGGCCCGCGCGCACCGGCTCGCGCCGCACGCCGGGCGCCAGGAAGTCGCGCTCGTGCACCGCCCGGCCCAGGAGCAGCTGGGCCTCGGGCTCGTGACCGTCGAGCACCTCCAGCTCCACGGCGAAGGGAGTCTGCACGTCCCGCTTCACCAGGCGCAGCAAGGGCTTCTCGGGCTCCAGAGCCCAGAAGAGCCCCATGGGCTCGAGCCCCGTGAAGCTGCCGCCCAGCGCGGGCGCGCGCTCCAGGTCCAGCAGGCCGGCGGCGTCGGCGCAGTAGCGCGCGTGGGCCCTGAAGAGCGCGCCCTTCTCGTCGCGCAGGGACGCGCGCAGCGTGACCGGCTGCCCCGGGGCGAGGCCGCGCACGGAGATGCGCACGGGCTCGTCCCAGCGGCAGCGGCCCGCCGGCTCCAGTATCAAGGTCGTCACCAACCGGACAGTGGTCCAAGAGACTGGGTTATCAGTCCTCAGCTTTAGAGGTCCTGCCAGCTGCACCCAGCGCGTCGGGCTCCATCGGCAGAATCCAAAGTGTCTCAGGAGAGCCTGAGAGGAGGCCACCATTTTGCACCTTCTTCAGATCTGGGATCAACTGAAGATGGCTGCGAAGAAAGCTAGAAACCGGTTTAGAAGCCAGTTTATTGGCAGACTAAGCGTCCAATGCGGAGGAGGCCCTGCTGTGTCGTTTGGAGGGCCGCGAGTCTTGCCAATCAGTGGCCTGCATTTGAAAGCAAGAGCGAAAACAGACTCACGCGAACTTTATGCTGCGAAAGAATTCCCTAATTCTGCGTCTCAAGGTCTCTTTGGCTTGGGCTGCGTGAGTTGTACGAGTGTTGCCCTTGCAGGCACCTGGCACTTAACTTTGGGGTCTGCCAAGCTAATAGCCAGAGGAGTGACATTGAGCTTTATCGCTTTGTTGCATAGTTCACACCAGCTAAATATCTGAAGCTGAATTGCAATACTTTGGTCACCGGATGCGGAGAATCGACTCGTTGGGAAAGACCCTGATGCTGGGCAAGATTGAGCGCAGGAGAAGAAGGGGACAACAGAGGATGAGATGGTTGGATGGCATCTCCGACTCGATGGACATGAGTTTGAGTAAGCTCCAGGAGTTGGTGATGGACAGGGAAGTCTGGCGTGCATGGGGTCGCAAAGAGTCAGACACGACTGAGCGACTGAACAACAACAAATCTTAGGTCTTTTCGTTTAGAATGTGCACTGTGGTGTTTTGCTTGTATATTATTTGTGTATATAATTATTTTTCCACACCATTCCACAACTAACGGGCCTGGCATCTTACTAGCTGTGTGACCTTACTCTCCTTCAGTTCAGTTCAGTCGCTCAGTCATGTCCGACTCTTTGCAACCCCATGGACCGCAGCACCCCAGGCCTCCCTGTCCATCACCAACTCCCGGAGCTTACTCAAACTCATGTCCACTGAGTTGGTGATGCCACCCAACCATCTCATCCTCTGTCGTCCCCTTCTCCTCCTGCCCTCAATCTTTCCCAGCATCAGGGTCTTTTCAAATGAGTTAGTGTAAAAATAGCTTAATGAGGTGATAGTTGTTATTTTGTTTTCTGGAGTCTCATGTTGCTCCTTTTAGGCAAACATTATCTCACTGTCACCCTGGACTTCTCACCTTTTCCCACTTTTTCTTAAGCTGTCGATTCCATCCAGTGGTGAATTTTTTATGAAATTTAACTGCAGACCCCTTCTAAGGGCTCGTACTTGATTGTACATTCATGAATGTACATGTTTTCTATTAGAGAAACTTGGAAATTATATAAGCTTCAAGGCCACAAAACCTGTGTTTGCCTCTGTTCCTAATAAAAGCCACTTCCATGAACTTCTCAGAGGAGACTTTTTGCCTAGATTCAAATATTCACAACTGCCTTTTGCTCTAATTATTTTTGTAACCGTTCTGTGGGATACTTCGCAGTATATTTTGTGCACAGGAGTCTCAGAAACAAGAAACTTATGAGCAAATTAAGTCCCCAGGGAAGTGAACTGATTTGCTAAAGGTCACACAGCTAGAAAGTGGAAATTCAGAGATTTATACCTTTGCAGTCCAATTCCATCTGAACCATCATTCTTTGCTTCTCACATGATGATATTCTAGTTGAGAAGATGTGAGAAACAGAGACTCATATACTGTTGGTGGATGCATATACTGGTATGATCTTTTCAGAGCAACCTAATTAAAAATATTTAAAGGATACATTCTCTTTGATTCACAATTCCACCTCTGGACATTTCACACATTTATAAATGTCTGTAAATATTTGGTTATAACAATACTTACCATATCATTGTTTTAATAGAGGAAAAAGAAAACAACAATATAAATTTGGTTGATTCAGTTTAATTGTAATGCAGTCATATAACAGAAGAGATGTAGAAGAGATATATTAAAAATAATATAGCAGAATATGAGAAAATTTTCATGACATTGAAAGCAGGTAGAGAACACTTTGTAGACATTAAAATATATATATTAAAACATTTTTTTTAAAGAAAAGACTGAAAAAATAAAAAATAAAGAAAAGACTGGTAGAAAACGACCCTAAACTGTTGTCTTAGGCTTTGGGATATTATGGGTAGTGTTTTTTTAATGCTTATTTATTTGGCTGAGTTGGGTTTTAGTTGCAGCACATGGGATCTAGTTTCCTGACAAGGGATTGAATGCAGACACCCTGTATTGGGAGAAGAGAGTCTTACCGCTGGGCACCAGAGAAGTCCCATATGAGTAGTTTTAATTTTCTTCTTTGTGCAGAATTTCACCCACACACATGGCTTTTATAATTAAACAGGTTTTTTTTTTTTTTTCCACTGTGGTAATACACAAAGATAAAATTTACCATTTTAAATGCATAGTTACCTGAGTATATTCACATTGTTGTGCAACCTTTAACACTATCTCCTTTTTCATCACCTGAACTGAAATTCTATACCTATTAACTCATCATTCCTCCTTCTCCACCGCAGCCCCTGGAAATCACTATTCCACGTTCTGTAGCTATTATTTAACTAGTCTAAGCACCTCTTAGATAAGTGGAATCACAAAGTATTTGTCCTTTTGTGTCTGGCTTATTTCACTTCACATAATGTCTTTCAGGTTCGTATATATAGCATATATATAGCCTTTCTGTATTCTATTCCTTTTTAAGGCTGAATAATATTCTATTATATACGTATATCACATTTTGTTTATCCATCCATCCACTGATGGCCATTTGGGTTGCTTTCACCTTTCAGCTGTTGTGAATATACTCTGAACATGGGTGTGCTAACGTCTGTATGAGCTCTGCTTTCAATTCTTTGGGCATATACTCAGAGGTGGAATTGCTGGATCACATGGTCATTTTAACTTTTTGAGAAAACTTGACCAGGGTTTTAATACTTAATTTTAAAAATTCTTTCAGTCGTTTCATCTCAGGGAACATGTCAATTCACTCTTTTGTGAGGGTCCCAGTGTCTGAGCACAAATTGAGTTGCGGCACTAAAGGCAGTGCTCAGGTTGGTCAGCAAGAGATGGTGACCACTTGAATAGCACTGCCCCAGGTCAACTGGGCAGAACTTGATGGCCAAAAATTTTCTTTACTGTAAGGACAAATTCTTTTCACAAGGGGAATCCTGAAGACCAATCAATATTCTGTAGGCCTAGAATTTTATTATTAAAAATATAGGACTTGAAGAATCCTTGTAAAAACAGTGTTATTGGCTGATAACCCAGCCAGAATTGGGGAAGCAGAAGAGATGGAACTGAGCTGTGTGAAGGAAGGAGATTAAACAGGAGCAGAATAGAAAGAGAATGGGAAAGGCCCCAAAGACACTCATTCTGCTTTACCATGTGTTTCATCAGGCTGCTGGTCTGAAGCATGCCAGAGCTGAGTGTCCATGTGTTCCCCTGCTTCGTCTCTCTCTCCATAGGACTTCTTTTTTTTTTTTGGCTATGCAGGGTCTTAGTTGTAGGAACTCTTAGTTGCAGCATATGGGATCTATTTCCCTGACCAGGGATTGAACCCGGGCCCCCTACACTGACAGTGCAGAGTCTTAGTCACTGGACCATCAGGGAAGTCCCTTCATAGGACTTTTGAACCGATGTGGAGGGGAAAATATTGAGCTGCGTAGACCTAGATGTTATTTTTCAAAGGAGGACCAAGAAATCCATTTTGCCACCAATTGGTAAGTACAATATAATTTCCCAAAGCTCAATTTACAAAGAAGGAAATTTAATAAATATCTGAAAGTACTCCTGATTGAACCTGTAGGTTCTGTGAGTAGACTTGTGGAATCCTCAAGAGGTGGTTGCTTAGTAACCAATATTAAGCAGCTTTGGAATCTAAAACTAAGGAAGGTTTAAGATGGCAAAACCTTGTTTCCCATTGAAGATTGTGTGTGGGAAGCCACTTTGAAGGTAATTTCAAAATACTGCTGCTGCTTTATCAGTATGTGAAAGGAGCTTATGAGCATCAGATGAACGATGAGAAGCAGTCAGAAGTAGTTGAAAAGATTTTGGATTAGGTGTCAAAGTGTCAGTTTTGCTAGGTACTAACTAGTACTGTGATCTTAGTTACATGTCTTCTCCCTGGACCTCAGTTTTGGCATCTGTTAATAAAACAGTTGTGACAGATCGTCTCTATGCCAGAGTTTCCACAATAATCTGATGAGACAACCGCCTTGGTTTAGTGGTTAGGACTTGGCACTTTCACTGCCATGGCTGGCGTTCAGTCCGTGGTTGGGGAACTAAGACCCTGCAAGCCATGCAGCACAGCCAAAAAAAGAAAAAGAAATTAAAGGGGGGGGAAATGTAGGGAACTTTCTGTAAAGAAAGAGGCAGCAGAGAGAGGGTATTTGAAATAAGCCTGGTTAAGGGTTCCTTGAGCCCCTCATTAACTAAGCTTCTTTCATAAATCCCATGGATACCTCCTAGAGCTATAGTTTCTCTAAATTTAATGTGTATAAAAATGTCTGACATCTTGTTAAAATGCAGATTTCTAGGCTTCACTTGCAGCCTCCTGAATCAATATTCTAGAGTGTGGGACACAGGAGTCTGCAGTTTAATGAACTCCTCAGGTGATCTTGATGCAGAAAGTCTTTTAGCCATATCTAACAAGCACTGTCCCAGAAGCTGAGTGTCCCTTCTTGGGCCCTACCTCAGAACTTCAGAATCTGGAGGTGGAAGTGAGAGTGTACTATTTTAAAACTCTCAGAAGATACGGTGCTATGGCTTATAGCATTTCCTTCTGTGGCAGTTTCTACTGCTTTAGTAATAGAAGGAAAAAAACACGATATTATTCCTTTTGTTGCTGTTTAATTGCTCAGTCGTATCCAACTCTTTGTGACCCCACGGACTGTTGTCTGCTCAGCTCTGCTTGTCCATGGAATTCTCCAGACAAGAATACTGGAGTGGGTTGTCATTTCCTTCTCCAGTGGATCTTCCAGATCCAGGATTGAACCCGTGTCTCCAGCATTAGCAGTGAGCTACCAGGGAAGCTCAATTATTCCTTTTAGCATTTAACTATTTCTTCAGAATAAAGGCAATAGACCAGAGGGTGAGGGTACAGGACTGGAAAGATGAAAAGAAGAGTGGAACTAAGTTTGGAACCTCTCAGATAGCACCCATTTTGAGTCTGGAGGATTCTTCTATCAGGTTTTAACTGGAGGCATAAACCTTCTAGCCCCACTCCCACCTATCCAGTCAGTTTCCTAGAAGTGCAAGAGATGATGCTGGTGGTTGCTGTTTACCAGATTACAGGGCCTTGGTCTGCAGTCATGCCAGGTTTGAGTAACTGTACGATGCCATTTATTCAGTTTCTTATGCTGTCTGTGCACAAAAGCACCTGGGACCTGCCACTCTGCTTTTGCTTCTTAAGGGCTATTTGTTGGGAGGGGACCCTGCCTCCGTGTTGGTCCAGGTAACATTTAAGTTTGGATAATATGGAGCTTCCAAACTCTGTTTGTAGGTCTTTTTTTCCCCTCTCTTAACTACCTAGGGCCCTAGTATTCCTAAACTTTTCCCTTAGTGCCCAGTGCATCTAATGTGGGGTCCCACAGACTTGCCTTCTAAAGGATAGTACTCTATGTTCTAAATCAATAACAACAGTTTCTCTCAGCTATGTAATACTTTGCAGCTTGCAAAGAACTTTCATACATGTTCCCCTAATTTTTACCTTCATATCAACACTAAATTAGAACAGGTGTCAGACTCTATTTTCAGATTGGTAAACTAAGGCAAACCTTAGAGGACAAGATGGTTGGATGGCATCACTGACTCCATGGACATGAGTTTGAGCAAGCTCTGGGAGATGGTAGAGGACAGGGAGGCCTGGCGTGCTGCAGTCCATGGGGTGCCAAAGAGTTGGACATGACTGACTGAACAACAAGGAAAACCAGGGTTATTAAATCATTTGCCAAGAGTAACACAGCTGGCAGGTGCAGAATCTGCCTGACAAACCTCTTTTGACCAAACCTTAGAACATTTGCCCTGTCCCAATTCCTTTACAAAGACATATCCATATGTGTTTCCTTCTTTTTCAACAAGCCATCATTTTAGATGATGATCACTATTCCTTGAGAATTTATAATAACTGATAATGATGGTATCATGTTCTTTCTGGGATGATAACATTGTGACCAAAGATTGTATATGTCACAGGCTAAAGGGCTTATATCTGGGGACACCCCAAATCATTCCATATTGGTGAACCTTGGGGCAAAACCAGTCCTCATTCAGTTTTGCAAGTGTTTGGACTCAAAATGCCCGCTGACTTAGAAGCAAGATACTAACACATTGATAGGTTAAGAATGATGAGATGTTCTATTAGGCAGTACAAAAAGCAGGAGTGCACTAATCCTGTTTTCATCTAAGCAGTTAGTTTTCCACCATGCAGAACAGACACTGTTCAAAGAAAAACATCACCTTGTAAACACGCTTTAGTCTTGCCCTGATTTTTTTAAATCCGACTTTAAAAATTGCTCAGTGCCCTGTGGCCATGTGGCCTTTGTGATTGTGAAGAGATGAAGCAACTAAATTTAATCTTATGCTCACTCATGGAGGGACATCATGTTAATCTTTTATTACTTAGTTTGAGTTAGGTTATTAATTCTGGACGAGTGACAACTATGTCAAAGCTGACCCTTCACAAAAAGAAACTCACCAAAGGGTCAGATTTAATACACAGAAGACAGTGGGATAAATCAAGCCCTAAAAACATCAGGTATCATTCTGGGTGCTGTGAAGGGAAGAGAGAGGAGTCAGATCTGGGCTAAAGGGTACCCTGTACACAGGGCAGGAATGGCAGGAGTTGGCACTCAGCGTGGCAGGAAAATGATCTCACTCTCATGATTACATGTTGGGAGGGGAGGCCCTACCTGCCCCTGAAAATAGCAAGGCCAGCACAGGGAGTGGAGCCTGGGCCAAAGCCAGTGTGGCACAGAGTTAAGTGCCCTGAGGTTGGTTCTGATTGCTGACTGTGAAGTCTGACTCTTCTACTTATGGCCAGTGTGATCCGAAGTAATTTACCAACCCCTCTGAGCCTCAGCTTCTTCCCACAAGCAATAAAGACCATAATATCAACCTGGTGTAAAGCTCTTAGCAAAGTACTCTATAACTCTTAATTATCGTTATTAGGCCAAGGAAGTGCTTCAGAAGGAACATTTCCTAGGAAAAAAAAAAAAAAGCATGAACTCCAGGCATTTATCCTTTACAAAATTTTCCATGCTAGCAAAAACCCAGAAACAGCTTGCCCAATAGTCAAGAGCTAAGGTGATTTATCTCCTTGATAAAACATTCTGCAGCTGTAAAACATTTTAACAATGAAGACAGTGTAGCAATATGGAAAAGTACTGGGTGATACTGAAAGACCAAGCTGGGACACTGTCTTTATGGTGCTGTTAAGGAGCCAAATACTTAATGGCGCAAGTGTCACAGTTCAGTTCAGTTCAGTCGCTCATTCATGTCCCACTCTTTGCAATCCCATGAACCGCAGCACACCAGGCCTCCCTGTCCATCACCAACTCCAGGAGTCCACCCAAACCCATGTCCATTGAGTTGGTGATGCCATCTAACCATCTCATCCTCTGTCGTCCCCTTCTCCTCCTGCCCTCAATCTTTCCCAGCATCAGGGTCTTTTCAAATGAGTTTATTTCCCATGAAGTGATGGGACCGGATGCCATGATCTTAGTTTTCTGAATGTTGAGCTTTAAGCCAACTTTTTCACTCTCCTCTTTCACTTTCATCAAAAGGCTTTTTAGTTCTTCTTCACTTTCTGCCATAAGGGTGGTGTCATCTTCAGGTGTCACAGGGTAAAAGTTAAAGTAACTGAAAGGGACTAGGAGAGGTTTGTAAATTTGTGTGTGACGTGGAGGCCTGGATAGGTAAACAAAGAATTACAGAGTAGGCAGTAATTGAGCTGTTTTGGAAGAATGGACAGAATTTCATGTTCAGGGCACAGAAGGAAGCTCTACTTGTGATGGGAAGGACACTCAGTGAAGCACTAGAAGAGTCAGGAGGAGAGGTTCTGCCAGGACAAAGTCATAAACAGGTCAGACTCAAGGACAACCCTGAATGCCCAGCTGTGTTGTCTGAACTTTGCACTCTAAGTTTTTTGAACGGGGAGAAAGCCACGTTTGGGGGGAAACTGGAAGCATGGGATACTGTTAAAAGGCAGTAATTTCTCAGAAGATGAGGGGCTGAGCTTTGGGACAAATGTGAGAACTGGAAGCAAAGGTCTGACCCAAGAAATATTTTGATTGTTGCAGCATCTCTTTCTTTTGTCTTTCTAACTCACATGGCTTCTCCCTGCTCCCTCATCTCTTCTCCAAGTCTTTTCTTACTGACTGCTGTGGGCCACCAACTTCTACTGACCTAGAGCTCTCACCAGTTCTTGCCATCCCCTTCACAGATGCGTAGCCACGCCCCCAGGCCCTCCTCTGGACCAGGCAGCCTGGAAGGAGGCATTTGCTGGGAAACAGTGACTAGGACGGAAAAGGGAAAGACCATTCTTCCACACCATTTCCCTCAGTCACTCCCCCCACGCCTGGGATGGGGCATGATTTTCTCCTCTGTAAAACCAAGAAACAAAAAGGAATGTGCCTCCATTTCCGGTGTGCCTCCAGTCTTCCACTTCAGCCCACAGCACTGTGCACACCTCAAGAACAAATACCTGAACCAGGCCAGTGCAAACCTGACGTTTTCTCAGGAGGTGGTGTGGCAGCGAGGGCTGCCCAGCGTCCCTTACAGCCAGTACAGCTTTGACCATCTCTACGACGCCAGTGGCATCATTCAGCCTCGCCAAGTCAGGAAGGCCCGGCCTGAGAAGAAGCCCGTCTGCCTCGAGGTCTCGGATTCTCCAGGTCCCCCAACAAAGGTCACCTCCCAGGCTGTGAAGACGGAAAGCTATGCCAAACCTACAAAACCGAAGAGATCAGAGCCAGCTAGTATAGGCCAGGAGGCATCTAGCCCCCTCAGTCTTCATCCAAGCAGGGAGTTGGACATGCTGGACCTGTCACTTGCTCCAGAAGTGAACCTGGAGGAGAGGGAAACCTGGCTTCCGCCTGCTGAGAAGGCGGCCAGAGCGTGGGAGGCCGTGGTGCTGGAAAAGCTGAACAAGCGCACTGCCCGATGGATCCAGAACAAGCGTCCTCCAAGGCCAGGGGTGTCCGCCAGTAAGTGGCAGAGCTTCTTGCGCCAGCAGTACGACTGGAGCCACATCCGCGATGAGCTCACTTCCTCCAGTGACCTGGACCTCTTGAAACAGCTGGAGGAAGAAGAGACGGCAGAATTTGAGGGTCGAAGTGTCGTCCTGCCCACCCCGGAGGAAAAGAAGCCAGAGCTGCTGCTTCCCGTCTATTATCGGTAGGTTAGCCGGGGCCTCGGGCGTGCCTTTGAGATACCCTGGTTCCCCTTCAAGGACTCCCAGGTGGGCTCACATTCCTCATTGCAGAACTCTCCCATTAACCTCTTGTATTTTCCACCGCCAACATACTAAGACTTCCACAAAGTAAGGTTTCTCAACCTTGGCCCTCTTGGCATCCCGGGTTGGATAATTCTGTGTTGGGGGCTGCCGGCCCTGTGCGCTCTAGGATGTTTGGCAGCATCCTACTGGAAGCCAGTAGCACTCTCCACCTGTGACGACCAAAGATGTCCCCAGATGGTGGCACATGTCCCTCTGAAGGACAAAACTGCTCCCAGTTGAGTACCACTGCCTTTAAAGGAAGGAGTTCTTAGCCTTTCCCAGCAGAGCCATTCTGCTGTTCCAGGTACTAACCAGGGGCTCCTAGAAATGCGTCCGTGGTGAGAGTGAGGAAGGCAGAGACCTCATGGTTCTGAGGTTTGGTCCCACTTTACTCTGAATAAGGAGCCAGGGTGTCACTCACTCAAAAACTGACTGGCAGCAGGACGGAGAGCTAAACAAGCTGAGAGAAGAGGAGGATTGCTATGCATCTCTCACATGGCTTCCTTGTCATTTATAACTAGAAGGAAGACTGGAGCTGTAACAGCCCTGATTCCTAGAAGTGAGCTAAAAATAAGTGGCAATCTTTATTCCTTCATTTATTGCACAAATATACATTGTACTCCCACTACTTTCCAGGCACTCTGTGAAGTGCTGGGAATACAACGTAAATGAGACAGCTGTGGACCTATCCTTTAAAGAGCTCACAGTTTGTCCACTGAACAACCACACACGAGAGATAAAGTGAGGTCATGGAGGAGGTGGGCTCCCTTCCCCAAGTCTAGGCACCCTCTAAGGGCACTGATTTTAAAGCTACCTGTCCCCCCTTTCTCCCCCTCTCAATCCTCCCAAGACTGCCGAATTACTTGCCGCAAGTGCAGACAGCTGAAACCATGCCTGGCATGAATAAGACGGCTGAGGAAATAGATGAAAAGGGGAGCCTATACAAGCCCCCAAGCCAGAGCCACGTTCGACAGGTGAATCCACGAGCTGGAAAGTTTGCTTACTCCACAGACAACACCTTTGAACAGGAGATTTACTTCGGTAATTGAGCTGGGGTCCTGTAGTCAGAGCTGAGGGGGGCATAGAGCAGGGAGGTGGAAGGTAGCAGGGAGCTGGAGGCATCACAGATGTGGATGAGAGGCCCTGGATGAACCAGGTATTCATGGGAACATCTCCTGGTTAACTAACACGGGAAGGTTTTGGGCAGGGGGTAGGGGAATGGACAGTGGGGATAGGGAGTAGGTATCCAATGGGGACAGGACTTCTTCCCCGTCTCTCTATGCTCTCATGCTTACTGAGGAGGTAGTGGAGGGTAGGATGGCAGAGCAAGCAAGATGTGGCTTTGGGAACAACCTACCTCTTCTGTGCACACCCTTACCCCTTCTCTCACTGAGATTATTCCCCCACTGAGGTGCTGTGTTCGAAGAAAAATCCTAGACTTAGGAGATCTGAGTTTAAATCCTGCCTTAGCCCCCTCCTCCTAACCTTCAGCAAATTATATAATCCCTGTGAGCCTTATGTACCTTATTTGTAAAACAATATCAACTAAGATGCTCTTCAAAGAGATGGGAACTATATAGTGCTTCTCATCCAGTGCCCACCAGCTTCCTCCTCCGTCCCACTAGCTTTCAGATGCCTGGGCTTCCAGGACACAGTCTAGGACCACATGCTCCAAGTTGTTTCTTCTTCCCTACCCCCATCTTATTCCTAAACTGCTTTCAACTGAAAGTCTTCTTAAAGTGTTTAACAAAATTATTCAGACAAAGGTATTTATGACTGCTGAGAGATGAATTAGGGAACTCTTCATTTGTATCTAGCTTTTCATAGGGGACAATACTTGTAAGTTAGGTTCTGACTTGGTTTCTGGGCCATTTTCAGTCCACCAGCTCCTACTTCCAAGCATCAGTCACTTTCAAGGGATGTCCCCGGAGCACAGTAGCCATGAGTACCAGAGGCTAGAGTAGGGCAAAAGGGAACTGGGTCTCCTGTGTGCTTCTTGCTGAAGACTTTCTCCATCTTCCCCATTAACCAGACATACCCACTACCTTGCTTTTATTTATAGTTTGTCATCCAAGTACATATCAATATGCAATAATTTTCATTTAGCATTTTAAAACTTCATATGAAATGAGATCATTCTGTATTTGATTTGGTTTTTTAAATGGATTTTTCTGGGGAAATGAAATTCGGTCTGATCCTGGTGACAAAAAACCCAGGAAGAGAGGAGGAGGGGGTTCTAAGGACTCATTATTTCTTTATCTGTTCACAGATGAAGTCCAGATCGTCCACCAGATTGGTGCAAAGAGAGACCAAATTCTCCTGGAAAATCTCAATCGATACATCAAGCAGTTATCTAAGGTCTTCCCTGAAACCCCAGAGAGGTGGACTTCTCAGCCAGTTCCTGAATCAAGTAAGCAGGAAGCTGATATTGATGATGGGAGTAAAGATGGAAGTGGGCCTATTTCTTTAAGGTCCCTGTTCCACACGTGGGGACACCATCAGCATCTCGGGGAGTCCCTCCCAACTAACTAAGAATCATCTCATAAAATTATAAGATACTAACTGTAACAAGGAAAAGCCTCTGTGGCCCATACAGCTGAAATTAGACAGAACTTAAGTATAACCAAGCAGTTTAGGGCCAGGAATTACTAACAAGACAGATCCTGGCTTAACAGTTTCAAAGGCAGTACCTCTGATGTGGCACTCTCCCCTCCCACTCCATTCTCAGGCCCATACCTGCTTCAGGCCCTAGCGTCGACTGGTGTTTTAAATTTCTATTTCATGAGTATATCATTCTTCATTCTGTATATTAGGTAAGGAAAAGGGAAAGGAGTTAATTAAGAAATCAACTTCTGAAACAAAAAGTGCCCATTCTCCAAGAGACTATATCTCCATTGCTCCTGATCCTTTTCTTTGCAATGTCTCTTCAGATGGGCCCCCTGTATGCAGGAACTAGCAGTAGTAGTGACCCATTCTTTTTCCCACCGGCCCCTAATCTGTCTCTAGTGTTGCCTGGCTTTACAGGAAACAGCCACAAGAGTAGAGAGGCACTAATGACGGCAGGTGTAGGCAGTTTTCACCAGACTCACACATACACCCTCCTTCTTGTTGAGGGCTACCATTACTAAGTGGTGAAGAAAGCATGTAGCAAAGCCTTGGATTGGGTCTTGGCAAGTCACCTTCCAGGGTTACAGCTGCCTCATTAAAACTGAGACACTAGGGACTTTCTTGGTGGTCCAGTGGTCAAGACTCCATGCTTCTGTTGCAGGGGGCACAGGTTCCATCCAAGTTTGGGGATCCGACATGCTGCAAAAACTGAGATACTAATCAATCCTACAGCAAGGCACTTGTAAACTCTTCCGTTCAGTCAGTTCAGTCGTGTCTGACTCTTTGCAACCCCATGACTGCAGCATACCAGTCTTCCCTGTCCATCACCAACTCCCAAATCTTGCTCAAACTCATATGCATCAAGTCAGTGATGCCATCCAACCATCTCATCCTCTGTCGTCCCCTTCTCTTCCTGCCTTCAATCTTTCCCAGCATCAGGGTCTTTTCTAATGAGTCAGCCCTTTGCATCAGGTGGCCAATGTATTGGAGCTTCAGCTTCAGTCCTTCCAGTGAGCATTCAGGTACAGGGTGTTTGAATTCCTTGGAGGACTGCACATACATGGCAGCAATGGGACCAGCCTTCCTTCCTGGGTTGTGGGAGTAACTAACTGCACCTTTGCATCTTAGTGCTCTGGGGATATTCCTGTTGTCTCTCTCACCCCTTTAACCACATCTAATATCTAAATTCTGGAAAAGAATCAACATGTGGTGGTAAATGCAGTGGAAAGAAGATTGCTTAAAACTGTCAGAGAGAAAATTCTTTTGCTATCATGACCAAATCTTCTAAGAGTCATCAGAGGCATTAGGAGACACAACCGTCCTTGCATTCCATCAGACTTTCCCTGCTGCTTGCACCGTTTATACATGAAGGCGTGGGAGAACCCAGGGAAAACAGAGGTCACCTGAGGCTCCCCCGTCAGCAGTGTGGTCCACCAGACTGTATTTCAAGGTGGATCCTGTCCCACACACTCTTTCTGCTTTAGAACCTTCTGGCTGTTTCCTCTGTGACCCCCCTGCCAGCTGTTCTTTTTCTATGGGATTGTTTTCTCCGCTGAAGGAAGTCTCGGTTTACCCCTTTCTAAATCACCCTGGCTGGCAACACCCGGGGTCTTGCCGTGGCACTTTTCANATTTCTGTCCTTTATTGTGCCCATCTTTGCATGAAATGTTCCCTTGGTATCTCTAATTTTCTTGAAGAGATCTCTAGTATTTCCCATTCTGTTGTTCTACTCTATTTCTTTGCATTGATCACTGAGAAGGGCTTTATTAGCTCTCCTTGCTATTCTTTGGAACTCTGCATTCAAATGGGTATATCTTTCCTTTTCTCCTTTGCCTTTAGCATCTCTTCTTTTCTCAGCTATTTGTAAGGCCTCATCAGACAACCATTTTGCTTTTTTGCATTTCTTTTTCTTGGGTATGGTCTTGATCACTGCCTCCTGTACAATGTCACGAACCTCTGTTCATAGATCTTCAGGCACTCTATCAGATCTAATCCCTTGAATCTATTTGTCACTTCCACTGTATAATCGTAAGGGATTTGATTTAGGTCATACCTGAATGATCTAGTGGTCTCCTTACTTTCTTCAGTTCTTGAATTTTGCGATAAAGAGTTCATGATCTGAGCCACAGTCAGCTCCCAGTCTTGTTTTTACTGACTGTATAGAGCTTCTCTATTTTTGGCTGTAAGGAATGTAATCAATCTGATTTCAGTATTGACCATCTGGTGATGTTCATGTGTAGAGTCATCTCTTGTGTTGTTAGAAGAGGGTGTTTGCTTGTAAACCCTTAGTAGTTTATAATCCCACTCCTCCTCCCAAATTAAGAACACTAGAAAGGAAACAATAAATTAGGAATTAAAGGCCAATTATATCCTACTTTTAATGGCAATATATCAAATATTGAATTTTATGAGCAAATCTTGTTACATATATTTATGGTCCTAAAGATTTCTTAAACATATATAAAGGTTTGTATGTACCTTATATTTTCTTCACTACCTTTCTCCACCCATCATCATGGCTTTATCATGTCTGTAGTCACCACCTCGCATGACTCCCAATGGGACTTGTACCAGTTTTCTACATAATCAGGAAAGCTGGCTCTTGATGGTTTTGTTTTGCATTGGTGCTAGCTAGGAATAGGCATGTGATGCTGGCTGGGAACACAGGCCCAGGGCAATGGGCATAATACCTCATACTGTCGCCCCGCACAGCTTGCAAGCCTGTGAAAGGAGCCATGCGCTGGATAGCTTTGCCCACACCGGCCAAGGATCTGCTGCTGAAGGTGGGTGAGAAGGACGTGTCCGTGAAGACCAGGAAACTGAAGAAGCAAGCAGAGTCACTGAAGGAGAATGTGTCTTGGGAACTAGTGGTCCTGCGAAGGATGCTGCAGGAATGGAAGGTGGCCTGGGCTCTAAGTGAGTGAAGGAGGGGTGCAGGGGCGGGGGAGAGGGGGGATTGTCCTGACATAGAAGTGATTTGTGAAGGAAGAAGTTCTCACCTTGGCCAAGTATTTGTCAATCTTTGAAAAATCCATCCCTCTCTTATGAACAATAAAAATCTGATTGCCTCATCAAGGCTAGACTAGGTAAGAGCTTTTCATACAATGGCAGCTGCATTTATCTGGATGTTTTTTGCATGGGCAAGTTCTACATCAGTAACTTGTGGAAACTCACTACCCAGAGAACTCTTCACAGGCAGAGACCCTATCTTACTAACCCCTGAAATGTCACACTCAATACATGATGCATGAAAGAAAGAGTGAATATGCTGCCCAAGCAATGGAAATGCAGTGATCAAAAGAAACTGCAATTGGCTCTCCAAAATTCATTTGTAAATTTGGAATTAGCTCATATTTACTTTGCCTTCACAGATCCAGAATAGTGTGCTTGCGTCAAAGGAAGGGTCCAGCAAGGACTGTTGAAAACTGCAAGATTTGAGGACTCAAGGGCTGCTGGCTTTCAGAACGTGAAAAAATAGTTTAGTTAGTACAGGAAAAAAGGTGATCCATCAGATAAACAAAAAGGGTTGAAAAGGAGATTCCAAGTAAAAACTACCAGTAGGGAGCACCGACAGGTGGTGGGAACACTGAAACAAAAGCTCATGTCTATAAAAAGTGTTGCTATGCTTGTGGCTCAGCTAGTGAAGAATCTGCCCGCAATGCAGGAGAACTGGGTTTGATCCCTGGGTTGGGGAGGTCCTCTGGAGAAGGGAAAGGCTACCCATCCCAGTATTCTGGCCTGGATAATTCCATGGACTGTGTAGTCCATGGGGTCGCAAAGGGTCGGACACGACTCAGTGTCTTTCACTTTCATGTGCTGTGTTTGGTCATGTCTCTTTGTGACCCCATGGACTCTAGCCCACCAGGCTCCTCTGTCCATGGAATTTTCCATGCAGGAGTACTGGAGTGGGTTGCCAGGCTAGCCTCCAGGGGACCTTCCCTACCCTGGGATCTAACCCATGTGTCTCTTGTGCCTCCTGCATTGATAGGCAGATTCCTTACCACTAGTACCACCTGGGAAGCCCCTATAAAGAGGGCAAAGTACCCTTAATCATTGTCTTATTGTTCCATTTTCCAGCTGATAACAATAAAGAGTTATTTATGGGAATTCCCCGGCGGTCTAGTGGTTCAGACTCAGGCTTTCACTGCTGTGGACCCAGGTTCGGTCCTTGGTCAGGGAATTAAGATTCCATAAGCCATGCAGTGAGGCCAAAAAAAAAAATAAAATAAATTATTTAAACAAACAAAAAAGATAGAATACAGGATGGGATTGGGAGGAGTTTTGTTTGAGAATTATTAATACCGAAGAAGATTCAGCTCAGTTTGTAAAGAATCTGCCTGCAGTGCAGGAGACCCAGGTTCGATCCCTGCGTTGGGAAGATCCCCTGGAGAAGGAAATGGCAACCTACTCCAATATCCTTGCCTGGAAAATCTCATGGACAGAAGAGCCTGGTGGGCTGCAGTCTATGGGATCGCAAAGAGTTGGGCACGACTGTGACTAACACTTACTTCCTTAAGAAGATTCAGGGAGCATCAGAGAAATAACTTCCTCAGGGCGGCATCTCTGGGGCCCTTTATGCTTCTGAGCTGCTTTTCTTGGATCGTCCTAGGGGAAGTGCCTTATTGTCACCTGTCAGCAGCACAATATCTAACCCTAAGTGATCCTCTTCTAATTCTCCTCCTGTGGCATAGTCATCGAGTGGCACCATAAGACTGTTGAGGGCCTGCTGCAGAGCTTGGTGGACATCCATGATGACGTCCGGATCCAGGCCATCGTCACTTGTGCCACAGCTGCTTTAGAACGGCCCCGTGCTGCTGTCAGTCGAGGGGACTCCGGTAAGAGCCACAACCGTACTGCTCGAGAATATAAGCAATCCACAGAACCACAGAAATTTTGAACTGGCAGGGACCTTGGAGCTTATCTGAGATTATTTCACAAAATGGAAACAAAGACCCAGAGACTGGCCTGAATATACACAACTTCTCAGCAACAGAGATGAGTTTAAAATTCCCGACTTCTGGTCTAGTGCTTTTTTGCACTAATTTCATCACCCTTGGATGCTTAGTAGTTCACAAGCAAGTTCACATTGTTCTGCCTTGAGAGATCCCATTCATAATAGCCAAAGTATATGTATATACGTATGTACATGCACACACTTTTCTCCCGACTGCAATTTAGTCCTTCTTTTGACAGCATGTTGACAGGCTCAAACTCAACATGTCCCAAACTAAATTCATCACTCTTGCCACTAGACCTCTCCCCACATCCCACATAGCGACCAGCAGCCCCATAACCCAGCTAGTTTGAGTCAGGACCTTGGGAGTCAGCCTGGACAAAATCCTTCCTCTCCCCACAACTAACTGACCAATAGATTCTGTGGATTCTGCTTCATAAAAATTTTTTTTATTACAAAATAAATACAAAGTGTCATTATCAGTCAACACAGAGGAGTATAAAAAGAGGTTCCTTCCAACCCACCTCCCAGCCCCAATCCCACCCCATGCCATTTCCAGGGTATACAATGTTTAGTTTGGCATTCTACAACTTTCTGTGCTTTTACAAACACATGCCAACATATATGTAGGTTTTTCTATTTATTAAAAAAAAGAGTGTTGAATTTTACCAGCCATTTTCTAGTTTTTTCTCCTTTAATTTGTGGATATAAAGATTTCTAGTGTTAAAATCTTAGAATAAATCCTAATGGATCATTCTCTTATTACTCCACTGGATTTGATTTGTTCATATTTTAAAATGTTTTAATATATTTGTAAATGAAATTGCTAATTTTGTGTTTATTTACAGTATTTTTGTTAAGTATTAGTGTTTATTTACACTATTTTTGTTAAGTTTTAGTTTTTACTGGTTTTGTAAAATGAATTGAGAACTTGGCCATTTTTCCCAATGGCTGTATAACCTTTTGAAAAAGGAATGTCAATAGGATTTTTCTTTGCTAGCAATAAGCAGTTAAAAAAGGAACATTTCCCATCTACAAGAGCTAGAACTATCATCTACCAAGGAGCTGGTTTAACAAGACACAGGACTCAGATGACAGAAACTATAAAATGCTATTAAAAAGACATAAAACCCACAGACTCTTACTAACCCCCAAGTGCCCTCTCAGATACCACCTTTTGTGTATGGGCTGACACTTTCTCCTTCTCTGCTGCTGGTAGCATCCTAATATTATTCTGTCCTAATATTTATCATTCTGTCATAATTGTCTGTTTACTTTTCTGCTATCTCTACCAGGCAAGGAACTTCTTAGAGGTGGGGACTAATTTTATCTCTACAAAATTGTAAAGTTTTTAAGGTTTCTTTTCACTTATTTCCAGTCTACTGAGTTCCAGGTATGAGCATTTAAACTCCAGCTTTTCAAATCTGCTGCTCCCTCTGCTAGGAAATCTTCTCTCTCTCTTGACTTGATCAACTTCTATACATGCCCCTCAACTTTCAGCTAAGATGTCACATCCTCTGAGGAGTCTTCCCTGCCCCACCCCCCTGCTATATGCTTCCACACACGCGCTCAGTCGTATTTGACTCTTTGTGACCCTGTGGACTGTAGCCCACCAGGGTCCTCTGTCCATAATATACTCATGTTTCAACATAGCAGTAATTTTAATTTAATTTTTTAAATTATTTTAATTTAAAATTTTAGTTTAATTTTTTCAACATAGCAGTAAAGGATTCTCCAGGCAAGAATACTGGAGTGGGTTGCCACTTCCTACTCCAGGGGATCTTCCCGACCCAGGGATTGAACCTGCATCTCCCACATTGGTAAGAGGATTCACCACTGTAGCCCCTGGGAAGCGATTCTTCCACACATACACATTTTTTAACTGCTTATTTTCTTGAGTATTAAATGGGGTGATGTGTATTAGTGCCTGGCATAGAGAAAACCTCCCATAGGTGGGAAGAGGTATTATCTTATCTCTAGATCTCCACATTCAAAAAACACCTTTGTCTTTCCCTTTCATCTGATCCCTTTCCTAGGTGTTAAGATTTTGACTTGTCTTGTTTCCTCCCCACATCTTCCCAAAGAATATTATCTTACTCATTATTTCTTGAAATACTCAACTGACTTCCATCTGATCCCCTCAAAGTCACATATTTCATCTAGCCCTTTTTAAACATAAGCATAGTGGCTTACAGTAGTGGTAAAAAGGACAAATGAGAAATTTTATATAAAATCTTAGCTATAAGTCTAGCTCTGCCACATCTTGGGAAGTCACTTATCCTCTCTGAACTTCAAACTAAAAATGGGAGGATAGTTGTGGACAAAAGTTAACACAACACTTTCCCCTTTTACTTGAGAAATGAGCTTTAGTTAAATGCCTACCTGCTGCCCCGATAACCTGGTAAGGACAGAAATTATCTTCACAGGCCACATAGCTTATGATGAAAATGAGCCCTGACTGCTAAATGACATTTGGACTGGGGAGAACTACAAGTGAAACATAGATGCCTGAAGGAGGTACCGTCCTCCAGGCTCCCAGCAATGCTGTGACTTATCAAGGCAGGCCCTTTGAGGACCCTGGAATTATATCTATGGAGTTGTTATATAAAAGAGATAATAACTCTGGTGGAACATAAGACTTATGCCCAGAGTCGAGTCTATGCCTCTGAGCTGTCCCCAGAGTGCTAGACAAACCATTCTCAGGAACTCTTGCCATAAGGAACACCTGATGCTTCCCTGTGGGCAAACTATGCTCCTGTCCCATTTCCTTCCGAAGACTAGTGGCATATATGGCCTATGATAGTCTTGTGAGGCTGTTTAGTTAAACCTAAAAGGATTCCTGAAAAACACATGTTTCAGGTGAGCTGCCTTGCCTACTTCAGTGAGGGTTAGAAGACTGAATGGGACAATGAATATGAAACACTAAGTGGCAAAGCACTACCTAAATATATTTGCTATTACTACTAAAATTACAAAAATTGATTTTCATCACTAAAACTCATGATGATAGTCACCATAGCCTAGTAGGAAACATATTCATTTGGCCCAAATACAGTTCTGCAGAGACCAGATGATAAAGATGTGAAAACAGGAATATCCACCACAAAAGGCAGCCTTAAAATCCCACCCATTGTAGGGGTTCAGCTAAACTCTAAGTAGCAGTAAGCATCTGCAACTGAGGCTGAAATGGCCCCCATGTGGCTACAGGGAAAAGCTGTGTTTTAGAGAAAAGCAAAGGAGCTAGCTAACACCCTCTTACTGGCTCTCTTTTGATCACAGACAAGGAAACGATGAAAGCCTCATCTATTCAGGACTTGCCAGAGGTTCTACAGCCCCCGCTAATTGCTGCTCTTTGTGATAAGAATGCCAATGTGCGGATGGCAGCAGCAGTATGCCAATATGCCATACAGTCACATAATCCTCTTGCCCAGGAAATCATGCAGACTGTTCTTCTGAAGGGTGAGTAACTCCTTGTTACTTCCGACCTGGAAATATGGGATAAAGAAAGAACATCTCACATCAGCTTTTCCTAATCCCTTCCTCTCCACCGTCATGCTCTTACTTTAGATACTCAGAGGATTTCTTCCAACCAAGTACTTTACGAGACAGGTACACTGCCATCTAGTGGTACCTGGGTTAACCGTGTCATAGATGCATTTGACTAAACCATGTCCCCTTTCCTGTTAGATTTTTCAATTGAAAAGATAATGTAACAAGATTAAAGAATACATTCTAAAAATTAAAAAACCCACTTGAACACATCATGCTTCCATTTTTGCACATTAACTTACCGGCACTGTCCACATGCATTGTTGGTGTAATACCAGCAAAAGATTCTGTCTGATGTTGATAGGCTCCCATACCTAACTACTCTGAAAGACGGACTTGCTCCTTGCATGGTGGCAGGGTGTAGGACAACTGTCTGACCAGTTTGGCCTTCTGCACAGAGACACTCAACAACTTAATTCGTCTGTCTTAAGAAAGCTTCCACTCCAGACTTCCCAGTCTCCAGCGAGAGGAACAACTAACTGTTCACTCAGGCCAGAAGTGACTTACTGCTCTATTCCCCAACAAAAACATTTTAGGATTTGACTTTTCAGTTTAAGACTTTCAACCTCCATATGACCTATTTAAATGTGATTTAAATCAGAGATTGAATATCAGACTGAGAGGGTACAGGAAAGTGAGGCAAGTAGCAGTCTTGTGTACCAACCCAGAAGCTGCTCTCTCTCTGGGGAGAAGAGATGGCCATTCTGGCCTTTGTCACCTCGCTGTGGCAGGTAATACCGTGGACAGCTGGGCTGCAGCTCAGTGCCTGGCTCTGGAAGGTGCTGCCACTTACCCTGTGATTAAGAGGATCATCCACCAGCTGTTTCATAAGAAGAATGAGGACACCGAGCAACAGTCTTGTACGCTCCTGCGCCATCTCAGTGGAAAGACAGTATGTGTCCATTTCAGGGTCAGAGAAAAAAACCAAGTTTGGGGGGAACAATTGGGTCTCTGAGGTCAGTGCATGTAGGGAACTGAAAATGCAGATGGGAACTTGTCTGGTGGTCCAGTGTTAAGATGCTGTGCTTCCATGGCAGGAAGCACTTCAGCCCCTGGTCTGGGAACTGAGAAAGATCCTGCATGTGAAGTGCAGTGACAAAAAAATTTTAAAAAGAAAATGCAGGTGGTTGGGTAGGATGATCTCACGCACAGGTAAAACTGGACTAAGTGTGGGTGAAGTGGGGTGTAGACAAGGAAAAGTGACAACAGCTAGCTGAGAAAGGTGAGGAAAGTAGGCTGCAGATGCTTTCTAACTCTATGCTAGAAAACTTACAACATGCAGAATTTGCTTGTGCTAGAAGTTTACCATTGAAAACCACACAGACATACAATTGCATTTACTTCCAGTAGAAATGTGAAACTCAGACTGAGGCATATACAAACCATTTTAGGGGGAAAGACAGTTAAATCAAGAAGGTCCCAGGAATTTTCTGTTCAGATTACTAATCTGTATTTTTTCCTTGACATCAGTTGGCTTGGATGGAAGAGGGCCCCATTGTAAACCCACTTTCTACTTTGCTAGCAACAGGCATCCATGTGTTTGTGACATTAATCATGCTGGATGCCAGATTAGGATGTAACTTCTTTAAGGTCCCAGCATCTCTAAAAGTGACTATGGATCTCGATACAAGTCTTCCATTTCCTCAGAGCCTGATACATACCATGCTTGCTGTGGAGCTGAATAGCTGTCAATGGAAAGACCGCATTGTGGCCTGCCGCGCTCTCTCCCGGATCGGTGGAAATGTCAGTTTGGTAAGTCTTCTCTTTCTGTTTCCAGGACAGAAGGTCTCAGTAAAACTGGGCTCAGGAGCTCTTCCACTTTTTGCTGCTATCTAGTTTCCCATTCTTACCAAAAAGATCTGTTCCCATATTGCTGCCTCTTAGTCCTAACCCAGAATTATCTTCACATGCCAACATATCATTCTGTTACTTAAGCGACTGCTACTCAGCCTGCTGGGAGTCCACAAACTAACCTATCTACAGTGAAATAAGCAAAGAATAAAAATAAAAAAGGTTTAGAAACTTTTTATAGTAATTCGACATTGCCTCCATATCAAGGTACTTAATAAGTATCTGTCACCATAGTCCCCACTTTCAAAGAGCTGACATTAATGTTGGAGTAACAGGATCAACATATACAAATGATTCAAGAACAAGAGCTAAATGTAATGTACTCTCTTAAAACTCTTCAGAGAGACATTAGTATGGGCTGAACTTAAAGTTCTGTGAAGGAGTGTGGGACAGCTGAGCAAGACTTACTAAGGAAAGACTTCCAGGAATGGGAAACCCTGACCATCATTTAGGCTTTCAACTGACCTCCTTCTTGCCATTATTTCAAAATCAACTTCAGCTGTGCAAATGGGCTTTCCCCCTTCTTCCTATATGCCATTATCTTTTCCTCATAACATTGGGCAACTCCACAATGGCCCAGAACACTGCTGTTTTTGACCCTTGAATTTTGACATGGAAAGCACAAAACTCGGCCATTCAGTATAGTCAGTATAATTCTGGACTTCCTTAATGACTCAGACGGTAAAGAATCTGCCTGCAATGCAGGAGACCCAGGTTCTATCCCTGGGTCATTCTAGTTTGGGTTAATTCTGCCTGGACCTTGCTGCTAAAGTCCAGGACCAGCAGCAGAGGTATCACTAAGGAATTTGCTGGAAATGCAAAAATCTCACCCCGGGTCAATTCAATCAGAATCTGCATTTAACAACATCTGATTCAGATGCACATTCACCTTCTCAGCACTTGCCACTCAGGATGGCCTATTGAAAGTAAAAAGCCATGCAGAGCAAGCAGGGGATGGGGTCAAGATGAGAGCATCACATCAGATTGATGGGGTTAAACAACATGTCCATCAGTGCTTTCACTTATTCAGTGAGCCTACAGTTTCTGACCACATCTTACATGTTAGGCAGGTAGCTAGCACTGGGTATGCGAAGATATGTCTTATCTGTTAAATGTTACATGTAAACAGCTATAACAGATGTAGCTGTAAAGTACTATGGGGATTTCCTATTGCTTACAGAAGGCAGAGGTGAGTTCTCTGATGACAGGCTTTTGAGGTCAATCTTAAAAGAATAGGAAAACATCAGGTATCAGTGGTGGAAAGGGAGCTATTTCAAGGAGGGAGAATAGCTTAGGGCACATTACCTAATCACCAAGTCATTTTTATCCCTTCTGCTTTGAGAGATATACTAACACACAGGGTGGCCAAAGGTCCTAGCTGGTCTAGTACATAGGACTTGCCCAGGCAAATTGGGATGAGGTGGTCACCCTACTAATGTACCACCTTCAAATTTTAAGAGTCTCAAGTGCAGCTGACAGTATAGTTTGGTTAGTTTAAAGCATGAGCTTCAAAAACAGGCCAAGATCTGAGTTCTGGCTCCAGGACTCAACATGTTAGCCATGAGTAAGAAATCTATGGCTCCATTTTGTCACCTATAAGTGGTAGTATCTGCCATATGGGATTATTTGGGAGGATTAAGTGATGGGTAAAACTACTTAGTACAGTGCCAAGTACAAAATGGGATTCCCAGGTGGTTCAGTGGTTAAAGAATCCGCCTGCCAATGCAGGAGACAAGAGTTCAATCCCTGGGTAGGGAAGATCCCCTGCAGGAGGAAATGGCAACCCACGCCAGTATTCTTGCCTGGGAAATCCCCTGGACAGAGGAGCCTGGGAGATTACAGTCCACAGGGTCGAAAAGATTCGGACACGACTTGGCGACTGAACATGCAAAACTGATGTGGTGATAAATGGTAGCTAACTATTATACCTATTTATAGGATATGAAACATAAGTTGATCCAGCTGATGTTGAGTGACTGGAATAAGAAAGTGAGACATGCAGCTGCCCAAGCTCTGGGGCAAATGAACCTTGGAAAAGAGGTGCATGACACAATCAGGTAAGACCTTGTCAACATGGAGAAAGAAACTGCATTTGTTGAGCTGCTCAGTATGCTCAGCCTTGTACAAGATCCACTGCAGATTTTTTTTTAATAAAATAAAAAGTTAACAGTCCCTATAGACACTAAGAATGTGGCTAAGGGAAGAACCATTAATTGAATGCCCATTAAGTGTTCAGGCACTATTTTAGATGTCTTCAGAGTTCAAACGTATGACATGATTCTGATTATACAAGACACATGAATGCCTAGTAAGGTCAAGTTTCATGAAGGATAGATAAGACTACATAAGCAGAGAGAAGGTAAGACAATCCATACTGGAAGCCAAATACTGAAATGAACATGACACGTGTGAAGGCACGAGAGAACTTGACTGAAGCAAGAGCTGTATGTTTCAAGTTGTCTTTATTCAGTCATTCAACAGGGTTTAGCATCTAGCATATGCTAGGTAATAGGGATTCAAGTAAATAAAACAGTTGAAGTCTCTACCTGGTGAAACAAATTAATGAGGTAAGGCTAACTAGGAAAGGGTGGGAGTGGATAATGGCGAGCCTACAGAAGCTGGATTTCAGCCTGAGGGCACTGGAGGTAGTAGGGGTAAGAAAAGCAACGGAAAAAGTCTGAGGAGGGAAAATAAAAGCACCTCTGCCTTACAGAACCAAGCTGGGTCAAGGAAATTTCCAGGGGCGTGTGGAAGCCCTCTACCTGATTTGTGGGCTCAAGCTTATGACCGCCAAGCTTTTCCCAAGCTTTCTGGACTGCTTCTCTGATGACTTCATGGCAGTGCGCCGGGCAGCTTGCTTGGCAGCCGGTGCCCTGCAGATTCATGATAATAGGGTGAGTCAAGGAGACATGTACCCTTCTTACCTGATTAACCCAAGAGGACATTACCCTGTGCTTCCCGCATACATAGGTCACTCACCATTCTGTAGGGACACAGCATGAGAGACCAGAACAGGAAGGTGAGGAGATATACAGGCCACACCAACAGTTAGGGCCACACACAGTTCCAAGCCAGCCTAGACTCACTCTAGAGCACACCCCTGAACCCTATTCTCACCTCAGTTAACCAGCTTCTCATTACATGTGTGCTCATGGGCTTTGGGATCAACTCCAGTGGATGGAGTTATAATCTCTAGTTATTAGAGGAAAACCTGACGGAGGTATTCAAAAGAAGCCTATACGGCCAGAGATCTGTGAGCAGGGAAAAATCAATCTCTAGACAGGAGAGAACACTGTATGTAAGCTAGTACTTCTGGCTCCAGCTCATTTGTCACTGGATTTGATAGATCACTTTTCCAGTTGTAGAACACTTCAGAGAAGAGCGAACCCTCTCTCTGATACATTCTTGCTCTTGTTCTCTCCACTCAACACTGCCTTTTATCCATCCTAGGTCCTTGAATGCCTTCTGAATTTGATACAGGGAGATCCCTGCTGGAAAATCAAGGCCTTTGCCATTCGAGGTATTATGGCGGTGGCTCCAACCCCTCTACCTCTAATACCTTCCCATATTTTATATGGAGGATCCCCAGAATCTCTTTAGGAAGAGGGTAGAGGGGAGGGGAAAGGATGATCACAGCTTCTCAGAAGAAATTAAAGATCACTTCCTTCAATTTTTAGTTAAGGATCCTGAGTCTCGGTCTGTGTCAAGGCAGTCCCTGCCAACAGAGTTAGGTATGAGTTCCAAGAAGGTATCCACTACTGGATATACTCGCTTTCTCTAGAGGTGTCAACTGTAGGACTCCGTAAAAGTCAGACCAGATTTAAGACTGCTACAAACGTAAAATCCTGCCCTCGAATTTCCTGGAGCTTCTTTTTAGGGATCTTTGACATTGCTTCTGACAGTCTGGCAGGTCCCTATGAGAATCAGTGCTGGGTAAAGCCATGAAGTATACCTATACCTTCTTTTCCCCTTATCTGACTAGGCTGGTCTTCTGAGTTATCTATCCCAAATCTCATCCCTAGGTAAATACGTTAGTGTATCCTCACATCTTAATGGACGAGGATTGTATTGAATATCCCCTTCCTGGGAATTCTCAAGAGAATTCCTAAAATACTGATTATTTTGTCATCTAAAAGGGAAGATATCCACTGTAGAAGGGATAGGCTACCCACTCCAGTGTTCTTGGACTTTGTGGCTTGGCTGGTAAAGAATCCACCTGCAATGCGGGAGACCTGGGTTTGATCCCTGGGTTGGGAAGATTCCCCTGGAGAAGGGAAAGGCTACCCACTCCAGTATTCTGGCCTGGAGAATTCCATGGACTGTAGTCCATGGGGTTGCAAAGAGTCGGATACAACTGAGTGACTTTCACTTTCACCACTTTTCAAAGACAATATACTTAGTTTAATTTTTGCAATATTTAATTTAGCAAGTGGTTGCCTATTCTTAGCATTTACTAGTAAGGCCACTTTAGATGCTGGGACACAGCCAACTCAGTCTGAAGTGACAGTGGGACATGCCCTCTAATTTCTGCAGCTTTGGGGCAAATTGGCTGCGTGAGCCCCCAGCTGACAGACCTCCTGCTTTGGGCTATCCACTATGAAGAGTCACCAGGTGTGCGACTAGAGGCTTGCCGGAGCATCCTAGCCCTCAAACTTCAAGGAGACCGGGTCAGGGACACCTTCCTCGACGTGCTGCTCCTAGAGAACCATGAGGCTGTTCTGAAGTAAGCACTAACCTCTGGTTCTGCCAAGACCTCTTGTACTGACAATTCTTCCAACCTTGTTAACAGACCATGTCCCTGACTCTTCAGGCTGCTTAACAGCTATAAAAACCACAGGCTCCCTTGTGCCATTCACCTACTTATCCACGTAGGCAACAGAAAAACAGGACTAAATTAGATTGGAAGTGAAGCCCATAAGCTCATATAGTTTACCTATTTGTTCAGCATTCCAGGTGGTTTTTTAATTCAGTTAACATTTATCAAGTGCCTACTTAGTGACAACAGGCTTTGGAGTCCAAAATAGCAGGATTTGAACCCCAGCTCAGACATGTGCTAGCTATGTAAACCTGAGTAAGTTAATTCTCTGAGCCCATTTTTTCATGTATCAGATGGAAACGGTAGTCTACCATATGGGTATGTGGTGGTGATTAAGGAGATAACATGTTAGTACCTCTCATAAAGGTGTTCAATAAACATTAGCTATTAGTATCTTCAAATATGTCATCTCAAAAACTACACAACACCCCCACAAGCTAAGCATCATACGATTTTTGCAAATAAAGCTCAGCAAAACTGCACAGTTGGGACTGGAACTTAGGATTCTTGTCTGATTGCAAGTGCTGTATTTTCCACCTCCATGCTTTGAAGGATAGGAAGATTTAATCTAAGAAGTCCTTCTTACCTTTCAGAGAAATTCACCATGCAATGAAGATACTCAACTTAGAAAATGAAGGAAACCAAGAAATGCTTCAGGAGATCAGGAACAGGGTAGATAAGTATAAGCTACGTTTTCAAGAAAAAATTCAGGGTTCTCAAGAGTTCCTCCCTGGTGGCTCAGTGGTAAGGAATATGCCTGCCAAAGCAGGAGATGCAGGTTCCATCTCTCAGTAGGAGAGATTCCCTGAAGAAGGAAATGGCAACCCACTCCAGTATTCTTGCCTGAGAAATTCCACGGGCCAAGGAGCCTGGCAGGCTACAGTCCATGGGGTCGCGAAAGAATCAATACAACTTAGAGACTCCTTTCCCCGCCCCTTCCCCAAGCATGCAGATACACTTTTCACCAGCACAGAAATATTTCCTACAATCCCACAGAAAATAATATCACTTGAAGATACAAAACACATCTGTGCAACACAGGATTATAAAATCCTAATAATAAAAAGACAAACAGCAGAAGTCCTATTAGTCCCATCAAGTAGCTATTGAGATCAGAGTTTGTTGTTGTTTCTGAAATACTGTTTCCTTCCCTTCCTGTGTTCCTCCCCACCATTCTTTAAACCCAAGTTCTTTCTTTTTTGCAGATGGGTATAAAGAAGGAATGAGGGACTGGAGCTGGCCCCCTAGATTTTCTTTTTCCTTCTAAATTTCTCTTAATTCCTAATCTGGGCTCTTTCCTCAAAGGAACACTAGCTAAACAGGTGGTTCTAATTTTTCAAAGCTGCTGGCAGAGATGAATAGAGGGGAAAAAATACTTTTAAAAAGGCAAAAGATTCTTTCTAAATATAATTCACAAAACCAGTTTCACATCAAGCATTTCTTAGCAGATTCATCATGCCCAAAAGCTAAATTTTTCATTAACAGGTGTAAAAATGTCCAACCAACATCACAAGAGAACAATGTTCTCAAGGATTTTATGTACCACCTAATATTAATAAGCATGATGCAATGTTACTTCATTAACACTTTTTGATGATCTGCAACCTGATATAGTTTTTTAAATCATCGTCTGTTCTGTTTCAGATTCAAACACTAAGCCAAAAGGAACTGTTGATACAGAAAGTATTCAAGATTGAGGCAGCCGTAAGAAAAGTGAAGGAGGAAGCAAAACGTGTTTACGTGCAACCCAAAGAAGGGCAAAAACCACTGAAGCTCCATACTTTTCTCCAGGAAATTTTTCAGGGTAGGTTTTCTAGGAATGAGTCCTATGCCTTGATTCCCTGAACAAGCCTTTTTCAGGACTGGGTGTCTGGGGTCTTAGTTGTGAGCCCTGTAGGATGAGAGCCGGGAAAGGATACTTCTCTTTCTTCTTGGCCACCATCCTCTCAGTCTGTTATCTTTTCTTTGCCCCCTGGGTTTTGATTTTGCTATCTGTCCCTTTACAAAATGTCACTCTAACTGAACCAATTTGAAAGTGAAGTAAAAAAAAGGACACCTTAGAAAAATAAAAAAAACTGCTGTATGTCTGGCTAAGCACTCAGAAAAAGCCTTGAAGCTTAATCTTGAATAGGCTGAGATGTACACTTATGTACATGTAAGCTTTTGGAACTTAAAAAAAGACTTCATGAAGTTTTTAACTTCATATACCTGAAACTTAGCACTCATGGCAAAATAATGTTAAAAGTTCCAGATACAACCTAAATGATGAGGTGGAAACATCAAGCTGTACCAAAACATAAAATCAGTGCACCCAGGCATAGCAGCAGCCTCAGGTCATTCAGCCAGCTGCCCACCAGCCACCACCCCAAATCCAGGTTTTCTAGTTCCAAGTCCAGTGCTTCCTCTGGTACACCAGGCTCTTTTCCACCAACCATGAGAATATTCATTTGTCATACATGGGGAAGTTTCTTTCAACTACCAGAAAAAATAAAAGAGTGGAAAGTAACTTGAACACCAGCGTTCCCTCATGGCCAGCCTGCTACAAGCTGGCTGACTGTAGCCTATGACAGCACAGCTAGTGACATGCTGCCTATTTTAGCAGCCGCGCCAGCCACTGATGCAAGCAAACACTGAGCAAAAACATAATACCCTTTAAAAAACAATATACTCTTAACTTTTCTAATAGTATTGTGCTGTTTGGGGTTAAAATGAATTACCCTTAGGGCTGCAAAATTGGCCCCAATCCTACATCCACCCCAAGTTACCTTGCGCCTCAGCCTTTGCAGTTTCCCCCTATCTACCCTCCTCCTCCCACATTTCTTCAGACCATGCCACACAATAATCTAGCCTCAGAAAAGGAAAGTTCTTTGGCACTTTAATAACTTTTCTAACATTCACACAAACTCACAGTAACAAACAGGAAACTGACCCCAACCCTCCCCCTAAACTGAAGAAAGACAACTCCAATGAAGGATGCAAATTCCAAGTAAAAACTTCTGATGTCTCAAGCAGAATAACAAAGCAAATGCCACACAGTCTCTGAAGCCTGATGGGGGTGATAAAGTTGGTCTCTCAAATGATCAGGAATCAAGTTACTCCTGCAGAAAAGGCTCCTTTTTCCATCCCCAACTCCTGCTTTTCCTTTTGTGCCTAGGTGAGGGGATGTCTCCTAGAAGACTGACTGACATCTGTGACACTGAGGCAGTCATAAAGGTAAATATAGAAACACTGATGGGTATCAAGTAAGAAAACGAGTTTTCTCCCTCAAAAGGTGGTGGGAGAGAATCACTACTGTCTTATTTCTGGCATTTAGTGAGTAACTAGTTCAGGTTAGAGGCATCTTGGTGAGCAGCAGCCCCTTATCATATAACATGGTTGCCAAGGAAAGTTGGTCCTCCACAGTGTCACAGGGCAAGTCCCCGACTCTCACAAACTCTGGGTAGGAGCGAAGCAAGAGTTCCATGGCGTCAGCTTGCTGGGGGTATATCTCCAAGCACTTGGGCTCTTCCAGGTGATAAACTCGGGAGTTCTCTACTGTGTAATAGAGAAACAAATGGCCCCCCTCACCCACCAGCCGAGCTATACCACCCTGAAGCATGTGCACTTCTGTTTCTGTTGTCAGCTGGGCTCCCACGTTTACAGGTTCTCCAGCCTCCCAGCGAATTGGGAGCCCGTAAACGCTGAGTGCCCTCTCCCTGTCAGTCAACACAGGGGGCAGAGAATCGTGGATGAAGTCCTTGGCTCGCTGGTCAGCCACAGCATCGACTGGGGCAAAGTGTCCCAGGCGGGCAACCAGGACCCGCACCTTCTCCATGAAGGCGGTTCTTCGCGGATCCTTAGAATCCGAATGCTGGGCCCCCATGTAATCCATAAAGTCTCGGGGCAGTCCCCTACGAAACTCCACATTTTCCTCCATTGCGGCCTGCACTGCCAGGGGCAGCACAGCCTCCAGGAAGTCGCCCCAAGTATTGCGCTGGAATGTGGACAAGGTCAAGTGCAGAGAGTGCACCCCATCCTGGCATTCAGCTTGGTGAATGAAGCCTCGAGGGAAATAGAGCAAATCTCCAGGTTCCAGCACCGTCTGCAGCACCGGCTCTCCGAGGTCGTCCTGGCTGAAGTTGGGGCTGGATGTCAGGGCCAGTTCCTCGGTCGGCACCCGCGGTCTGTAGACCCGCCAGAGTTTCCTACCTTCCAGCTGCAGGACAAAAGCCTCGATGTCGTCGTAGTGGGGGGCAAAGCCCTGCGAGTTGGGGGGCGTAAGGTAAACGTTGGAGCCTGCCATGCTTCCGAACTGCTCCTGGAGCACGGCCAAAAACTGCCACACGGTGGTGGAGAAAGCCTGCGGACAGAGAAGGCGCAGGGAGCAGCCGGCCCGGTACAGGGACCACGCGGCGGCGGGCAGAGCGCGGCCGGGCGGGTTCAAGGTCTCGCGCCGCCCATTGATGTAGCGCGCGGCGTCCAGGTGCTGCCCGAATTGCACCTCCTCGCTGCGCAGTATGGAGTCGAGGTCGGCGGTAGAGAAAAGACCCTGGTAGTAGCTGTGGTCCTGCCGCCGCACCAGCACCGCCTCGCGCTCCCACAAGCGCCGGTAGAAATGGTCCGGCGGCATGGGCGAGATGAGCCACTCGAAGAGGCGCGCCGCCCGCCGCCGGCTGCTAGGGATGCAGTTCAGCTCGGCCAAGATGCGCTGCAGCGGGGAGTCCCAGGGCAGCTCCCCGCCCGTGCTTTCCCCCTGCGGCCCCGACAGCGTGGCAGAAGCCACGGACTGCGGGGCGGCCGCCAAATGCTGGGCAGAGCACAGCAGGGCCGAGGTCTCCACCAGGCGCGCGGACGGCCCCGAGGCCGGCACCAGGCGCGCGGGTAGCGCCGACGTCTCCACCAGGCGCGCCGGCGGGATCTGCGCTTCCACCAAACGTGCCGCCGGGGTCTGCGCCTCCCCCAGGGCGCGAGGAGTCTGCAGGGACCGGGACGCGGGCGAAGCTTCCAGCAGCTCCGCGGGCCCGAGCTGCCCGTGCGTCTCCCGCCCGGTCACATCCAAAAGGGTCGCCGCCCCTCCCGCCAGCGGGTCCCGGGGTTCACCGACCGTCGACTCCACCCTCGAGTCCTCCGAGTCCTCGCTTGGCAGCGTCTGGGCCCTGAGCGCGGCCATTCGGGACGAGGCACTTCTCCTCAGCTGCCGTCGGATCTTCCTGGGCCTCAGGGGCAGGGCCAGGACCGACACGCTGTGTGGCTGTTGCTGGCGCCGGCGCCTCAACCGCCCGCGCCTCAGCAGCCCGGCGCTAGTCCGGAGCCCGTCCATGGTCCGAACCTCCCGCTAGCCCGGCGGGAGACGGCCGGGAGACGGCCGGAAGCCGGCTCACGCACGCGGCGGCCGCAGTGTACTCTGGGAGGGGGCGGGCCTCCAGCTGCCTCTGGTTGTCCACGCCCACCATTCTTCCTCTGGCGCTTCCTGCTCCCGGCTTAGAAAACATTAAACGCTTGGGATCCCCTAGAGCCACGGAGTCTCTGCCAAATTAACATGGGTTCCATATTTAGAGGGCAATTTTTAAAAAAATCAAGTTGTCAGGGACTCCAGGAAAAAGTTGCGACTTAACTCTTCTTTCCTTCCTGCGTCTACAGATTGCGGTGTTCACAGGGTTGTCCCCGTTTCTGAGTAACATGTTGCCCAGCAGCTTTGCATGAGAAAGCTGGCAATTCTTGGTTTCCAGGAATGCACTCAGGCAAAGTTCTAAGTTCGAACTTCTGGTCCACCTGGTCCTCTTTACAGATATTGACTGAAGCCCTAAATTCTGCCGCCTAACTTCCCTTTGTCCTCTCTCCATTACAAATTTTGAGTCATAGCCTTCTCCCTGAAAAAAAAAAAAAAGCCTATGGACTTTTCAACTTGTATTTCTTTTTTAATATAACAAATATTTACAGACTACCTACTAAGTGACAGACATTGAGACAGCATGGGGTAACAATCACAAGCAAAACAATGAAACATTATCACCTGCCCTCTTGGGACTTACATTTCCGAGGACACAATCAACATGCCAGATAATGCACAACCCTCTTTCTTCCCTTCATCTTTTTGAGTTTGATGCAGCTCAAACTTCAAAATCATCAAGGCTACTTCTTAATTAAACTGAATGGAATGTTTTCTGACTTAATTCCATATGCAGTAAACATGCTGACTTTACCTGTCCAGGGCTTCTCTGGTGGCTCAGCTGGTAAAGAATTCGCCTGCAATGCGGGTGACCTGGGTTTGATCCCTGGACTGAATCCCTGGATTGGGAAGATCCCCTAGAGAAGGGAACAGCTACCCACTCCAGTATTCTGGCCTGGAGAATTCCATGGACTGTATAGCCCATGAGGTCGCAAAGAGTCAGACAAGACTGAGAGATAATCATTGTCATTGTTACCTGACCAACCCCTCCAATTTCCCCCAACCCCTCACTGTCCTGGTCTGTGCGGCAGGTTGGAAAAGAATTTCCAGACATGAGGGAGAAGAAGAGGCGAATAAAGTTTGTTAGAATGGGACAAGCTGTTAGAACAGTGGGCCAGCTTAAAGGAGAGCCGAACACTTTTGCAGGCTAGCAGCCAATTTTTACAGCCTCAAGACAGAGACAATTCCTACTGGAAGGGCGGCATTAGGTGATTGGTTAGGATGCTATAGGGTGGATAGTAGGGTGGGTATTTTACATAACATGGAGTCTGGGAACTGGCCAGTCTTGATCCAAAAGCTCATGCCAACAGTTGCTATGGGGCTTGGTCAGGTTCAGAGATTTTCATCCTGTGAACGTTGTACAGGGCTCCACACCGGTGACCTTGGTGTAGGGCTCCACATCCACCCTGGTAGGAAGACACAGAATTTCCTTTGGATGCCCATTTGTCTTATACTCAGTTGCTGTGCATAGGTGGGACTCCACTCGGGCTCCAGAAGTGCGGCAGAGCACAGGGAATGCTCCGATTGTGGAAGGCCTGGAACATCACTGGAGTCCAGTATCCTAAGGCCACAATGATTGGCTTGTACTTAACGGCGTGACCCAAATTTCTCCATTCCAAGTGAATCAAAGGAGCTTTGCTCTGCAGACAGGCTGCCAGAGATTCTGGAGTCCACATGCAGAGGTGAGCAATATCCTCATCATTTTTGGTGGCAGTTGAGCATCCATCCAAGAAAATTCCTGTGTCCCCAGACTGCTGTGGGAGACCAACTTTTGAGTTCCACATGTTCGCTCCAAGCTGCCCCTGGTGTTGAAGAAGAACTGCGCGCTGCACCTTGGGCCAGGGTCTCTCATCAATCGCCTGCCCTCAGCCCAGCTCTCTTGGGTGGGAGGGGTGGAAAGGGGGCCGACATGAGCCTCATGAAGGGAATTGGGGCTATTCTTGTATTCTTGATATGTGCCCTTTCCACCCCCTCTGGAATTCTGTTTTATTAGCTTCAACTTCTCTCTCCAGAATCTTCAATCGCACCTCCTCTGAAACCTTAAATCAACTTCTTAAATCTGGGCCTCTCATTTTGTTGGGGCCAGTGTGAGGAAAGCAGGAGAGGCTCCATCTTGAAGCCTGTCATCCATCTTAAAGACAGGATGTGAACTGGGCCTAAACCCTGACCAAGAGTGAGGGAACAATTGCTAGTGAAAACCAGGTCTCCTGGAGACTTTCCTCCCTACAGATGACAAACGGAGATTGTAGTTGAAGTCGGGCTGCCCCTGTTAGATTAACCACGGAGACATCTCCCTTTGATGTATAATCATTGTCAGTCAGTTCAGTCACTCAGTTGTGTCTGACTCTTTGTGACCTCATGGACTGCAGCACGCCAGGCCTCCCTGTCCATCACCAACTCCCAGAGTTCACTCAAACTTACGTCCATTGAGTCGGTGATGCCATCCAACCATCTCATCCTTTGTAGTCCCCTTCTCCTCCCACCTTCAATCTTTCCCAGCATTAGGGTCTTTTCAGTCAGTTCTTCACATCAGGTGGCCAAAGTATTGGAGTTTCAGCTTCAGCATCAGTCCTTCCAATGAACACCCAGGACTGATCTCCTTTAGGATGGACTGGTTGGATCTCCTTGCAGTCCAAGGGACTCTCAAGAGTCTTCTCCAACACCACAGTTCAAAAGCATCAATTTTTCGGCACTCAGCTTTCTTTACAGTCAGCTCTCACATCCACACATGGCTGCTGGAAAAACCATAGCCTTGACTAGATGGACTTTTGATGGCAAAGTAATG